TATAAAACAATTTGGAGAGAGGTTACTAATAATAATAATAATAATTATTGATCAGTCAGCCTATCGACAGGGGCCAAGTGAGTGGAGGCAAATGAAAAAAAAACAGAGTTGAATGTGAAGATTTGAAACCAATTCAAGATGGAGCTGTGTGCGTTAACAACGTTAAATCCTCCCCGTGCAGAAACCCGCTCGCTTGGCGGTTAAAAGAACAACATGAAAAGGAGTTATTGCCTATCCGCTCCAGCGATGGTGTAGAGAGGATTGCTTGTACCCTTCTGTGCTGTGCTGTACATCGATCTGCTTCATTCTTTGGTGGGAAGAGCGGAAAAAAAGTCAAGAGCGTGGCGACAATGAAATTCTGACAAGCGGTGCGGGGGACAAGACAGCAGTGTAGCATGGGTAACGCTAAATTCCCTCCAACAGTGGAATGTTTCAGTAGTCTGTCTCAAAACAGAGGAGCCAAAAGATTTCAATGGAAAAAAAAAAAAAATCGTCTCCCTTATGCACGTGTGCTTAGGCCCCAAATGATGAAGAGAAAATTAAGTAGATCAAATAAAATAAAAGACAACGACAGAACAGAGAAGATGTAACCGGCAACATATAACGTAACGTTAAGAGCCCGGACCCAAGGCTTTGCATGCTGGAGCTGATGGGGGGGAGTGGAAAGGTTTCTTGAAGGGTAACAAGTACCAGGATGATGGACCACGTGGTACCCTCATGCCAAGTACATATCTATAAGAGCCCCCCCCCCTCTGTTGGATTATCATCAACTCAACACTTACTATCATCAGCACTTTACACAGGTGCACCCACCTCCATGGAATACTAAATATCACTGTACATCAACCCCCTGGTTACAAAATAGAAATGAGCATGACATTTAATAAAAACACACACATACTCTGATAAAACGTCCACAAGAATTATTGCAACAATCTCTAAAAAAATTTAACACAACATGTAGCCTACTACAGCCATGTCCAAAAGAGTTCAAGATAATGTTAAGTTAAAAAACAAAACAAAAAACAAACACAATCACTTCAAATGCAAGTACTATGGCATACCATGAAGGAGA